TGAGGAGTCTGGGCAAATGTAGCTGGAATGAGGACTGCATAGGAGGAAAAGGATGTTTACATTTTCCCCTGAATTCTCTCTGAGCTTTCCACCAAGACATTTAGGTGTGTGACTCGCCAACTCTTTATTTCAAGTCCAGCTTATTGAGCTTTGTTTAATATCCAGCTAAAATTGTTAATTGCTAGCTCAGTTGGAACTTCAGATCTTTTGTTCTGAAATCCCTTTCTTGAGCTGCTGTGGTTTTCTTTTTTAAACAACTCATCTGGGAGACAAGGACCTGGTGCTGTCCTGCCATGTAGGTTCTCTCTGCATGGAGAGATCAGCTTTTGCATTGACCATCATAACCAAGATACAAATGCATTGCAAAATAAAGTTTAGGTTTTTTTCTTGCAGACTGATACATGGTTTGAAACATTAAAACCAGAAGATCTGGAACTTTTCACTGGGTGTCTGGTGTACATAAAATTTCTTTAGGGTTGTTTTAGAATTGCTGGAATTTTTGGCAAGATTCTACAATCTCCATTTCAGACTCCTAACCTTGGCCTCATGTTTTCCAAGGATGGACTGACTTGTGGGGCTTTTATGGGAGGCTTAGATACCATTTTGAGGTTTGGAAGGAGGACATAACTAGGAATTGATATGACTGAGATACCCAGCTAGGGGTGTCCAAAAGCTGATAACACCCTGAAAGCAGCACTCTACAGCTGAGTTTCTGTATTTTGTGAAATGCCCTGGATTGAATTAAAAAGGCTCCTTCTGAGCCATTTTTTTTTGCACAAACATGCAGTAGCTGCAAGATGAATATTTTAATTTCAAAATAATTGTGAAGATACACTGTTCTTTCAATGGTACATGTGCTACAGAAGGAAAAAAAAACCACTACTGCAAGTAAGGATTTGGCATTTCTCATTAGTTTTGAACCTTCTCCAGCACAAAAATTTAAGTGTTAGGTCCCTGCCTGCCTTCTGGAATTTGGATACAAGGAAATAATTTTTGTGGAGTAAATTTGTATCACTTCCCAGTGACTGCCTGATACACAAGATGCATTTTGGTCTTTTCAGAACATTCAGGAAAATAACTTTGTTACTGCTTGTGTATACATGAGAAATTTCTGGCTCTATCACCAATAGGAGTATTCAGGAGAGCCTAAGTTTTCAGTTAGAGGGTAAATTTAAAACAGATAGCAATTTTAAGCTAAACTGTGCTGTAAACCTTGATATCAGTGTTCTGTTTTTAGCTTTATAAATTGTCCACGAAATGCAGAAATCCAGGGACTCACATTTTAAGTGAAATGCTACAATGGATGTTTCTTCTGGGGTAACTTTCTCTTGCTGGGCAACTTTGTCCTTGGCTCTGCTTTTTGAACAAATGGCTATAAATCAGAAGTAATGCTCGTGAAACCTATGAAATACAGCAGGAGATAAATATCAAAGCTTTGCCACTGTGAAAAAAGCCAATCACTTGTTTTTAAAATTTTAAATGTTTAATAGTAATAAAATGGTTATAAAAATAGGAATATAATTAGAGTAATAATAATTTTGGGCAATTTGGATTAGGACAACATGACACAACAGAAACGAGTTACAGACATCTGGGTACATTTTTCTGGGCAGCATAAGTCCAAAAAAAGTACACCACGTTAACAGAGGATTAACCCTTAAGAGCAATAGTCCATTGAATATTCATACATCTCATACATGATGCATAAATTCCATTCAAACACAGGATTCTGTCTGGTCAGGGCCAACTTCTTCCTCTGAATCCTAAATGGCATTTTCATGGCTGAGCAAGGCAGGAAGATGTTAATTTCTTCTGATAATGGGGCAATAAATTCTCTTTCTCTGAAAGATTTAGGTGTCCTGTGGCTGCTATCTGGTGTGAATCCTTTCGTTTAAAAAAGTATCTTACATAGCATAGTTTCTATTTTAACATTTTGTTATAACCTAAAACTACATTTAACACACTACTAAAAAATTAATACAGCATAACTTTCTAACATAACACATATAATATTCATTTTAATATTTGCAAAAATCCAGTCATAAAATATCCATTTTTCACAGCCATCATGTTGTAAATCTGGTTTGTCTTTTCTTTCTTAGGAAGGTGCTGCTGGAGGTAAATGTCCCCAGGATGCAAAGGCATTGGTTGTACCTCACCAAAATCAAATCTGGGTTTGATTTCACTGAGACCAGCACAGCGCAGCAAAGATGGATTTGCCTCTGTGTCCATCTGCTGTAAATACACTTGCTCTCTCTGGAAGAAGTCTCCTTCCCGGAGCTGGCTTGCATCCAGGGCCTCTTTCCTTTCCCCTGCAGTTCCCTGGTGTCTCATTGCTGCTTCCGTGCAGGAAGCCCATGACACCAAGTGTGCTGAGCAGTGGCTGGGTAGCAAGGACAGACGATGCTCTGTGGGCACAGCGGCAGTGAAAGCCAAGATGTGCCAGCCATTCTTAGCACAGGAAGAGTTTGAGCCATTCTCTGAGGTTGCTAGCTGGCAGCAGCTGTGAGCAGGCAAGGATGAAACAGCAGGGAAAGGAGGAACAGGAGAACAGAGCCTATTTTCATCTGGTTTTAAGGAGTAAATGCTGTCTTTGGATGGACTTTGAGATCATCCAAATTTCAAGGGGAAAATATGTTCAATGAAGTCAGCTGTAGGTCAGTGTTTGTACCTTCTTCCAAAAGAACAAGAATAGTTTAGTGTGCTAACGCTACATCTCTTCCACCAGCCAAAGTGTCCCAGCCCTTTCCCTGACCCCCAGGGCAACCACAGCCTGTGCCAGAGCTCATGAAGGGCCGAGCACTGGCACTGACAGAGTCTCAGCCGTGTTTTCAGCACACAATGTGCAATATGGATATACACTCCTAAAGTGAAAGCCAGTTATTCTGTTGCTTTGACAATGTTTGTTTCAGTTCCCAATATACTTCTTCCTCTTGAGGTCCTGTTTAAAAAGAAAAAAGCTCCATTGCTACAGTACTTAGGACAAGTCAGATAGAGAAACTGAGAGAAATTTACCAAGCATCTGATTTTACAGAGGAAAACTAAAAATAAATCAGGCTTTTTTTTTTTTTTTTTTTGGCAGGAATGAGAGAGGTAAGAAGGGCCTGAATCTGACATAGGTAGCTTTATTTTTAAGAGCAGATTTCTTGCACACACCTCTTACCTGCAAATTCAGGACTACTTGCAGTAGTCTCTAAAATTCCATGGTGCCTGCAATCATCACTGCTGTTGCTCAGCTACTGCTCAAGGAAAGCAAACATAGCCAAATTAATTGTTTGAAGCACATGTTCATATTATTATCCATACTGTAAACAAGATTAGGAACTGTGGCTTACATAGGTCAACAGATCTTGAGTAAAATACCAACTCCTAATTAGTGAGGGTACTTAGGACTGGTGGCTGAGTGTATCCACAGCCCAGACAGATCTGATCAGGCTCTGACTTACCCATGAACAATGTGCAGTGTGTTATTTGCTGAACATGTTCCAAACTATTTCCCACAGAAACCAGTAAAATACTATTAACATTGTTAGCAAACTTAAATATTTCTGTATTTTCTTATTATGCTTTGGAGAATAATCTGTCTCTTTGCTAGGGGACACTGTCTGCAGCAGCAGAATTACCAACAGTGACAGGGGCTGCCAGACACTGCTCCTGTGCAGACATGGACCGGGCAGGGTCTGGGGGAAGATTGCTTACTGAAGTGATATCCACATGAGCCAGAGGGCCAGTTTTCTGTGGTATATGTCAAATCCAATTTCAGAGGTTGAGTGGAAACAAGGAATGTTTTGCCTGAGGCTCTGGAGGCAGTGAAGGACAGGGGTGGATGCACACGCCCTGATAATGCGCTGTACTGGCACCCTCTGCTGCGGTTTGGGCTCTGTCTGTGCCCATCCGTCTCTTATCACTTCAGTATATTTCTCTGCACCACCACCACAAAGAGACAAATCTTAATAGGGCAGGGAAGGCCCTGGATTTTCCCAGGATGTGCTGGAAGTGGTGTGGCCCATGTGTCCCTGCACAGATGGAGCAGCAGCTGAGGTGCCCTGCCTGTGCCCAGGAGGAGAGGTGGGGGATGGGCCACAAAGCACCAGGCTGTGCCCACCCAGCACACCAGCCACCAAAAAGGTTACAGGAAGGAGGTGGCGCTGCTCCTTCCTTGGAGATGTTGTGGGGATGATTCACATCATTACTTGTCACCATAGGACACAAAACAACACGAGCATACACACCGCTGCTCTCAAGGTGAAAAAAGGGAAGTTTATTCTCTGACTCCAGCATTTGTAGTTTTCCAAAAGTGACAGCGGATTGGAGGGTGACCGTGCCACCTCTCAATGACACTGGACAAACCAACAGTCTATCAAATTTCTCTTCCTCCGTAAAAGAATGCAAAACAATAAGTTATTTACAGAAAGTGTGTGAGAAAGTTTGCTACAAGAACATAAACATCAGAAGGCTTAGAAAATCTTAAAAAATCAGGGTGACATCTACTATCGCCCCATCATTCTCATGCAGCCAGCTAAAGTCATACAGCCTTTGTCAGTTCAGTTTAAAAGTCTTCAAGAAGTGTGAGTCTCTGTGTGTGTGTGTGTGTGCACATACGGCACTCAGATGTTGGGATGCGGGGATTGAAGTGGAGCAGGAGAGCAGGGACTGTGCAGATAAGGAACCGTGAGAAAGATGGACAAAGAAAATGGGAGCAGAGGTGTGAACAAAACAACTCTATATCTATCTATCTATCTATCCCCACATGCACAAACCCCCAGCATTTCCCAGCAGCCCGGACTGCCGTCCCTGCCCCCGGAGCCCCCGGGCAGCGCTGCCGGTCCCGCCCTCCCTGGGCCTCCTCCCGCTCCCGCTCCGCCCGCCGGGCTCGGCCCTGGCCCGGCCCCGAGGCGGGGCGGGACGGCGATCGGAGCCGCGGCCAGGTGACCTTGGCGGGCAGAGCGGGGCTGCGCCCGCCGCCGCCGCCGGGGAAGCTGGGTGCGGAGACGGCCGAGATGGTGGAGGACGGCGGCGAGGAGGAGGCGGAGGGGGAGAGCGGGGAGGTGCCGGCGGCGCCGCAGCAGCAGCAGCGCTGCAATGGCTTCCTGCCCGGCAAGGAGGCGGCGGGCGGCGGGCAGCGGGCGGCCCCGGAGGCCGAGGAGATGCTGGCGGCGGGCGGCGAGCGGCGGGAGGCGCGGCTGGAGACGCGGCTGTCGCGGCGGCGGCTGGCGGTGCTGGCCGTGTTCAGCTGCTACTCGCTGGTGAACGCCTTCCAGTGGATCCAGTACAGCATCCTCAGCAACGTCTTCGCCGGCTTCTACGGCGTGTCCTTCACGCAGATCGACTGGCTGTCCATGGTGTACATGGTGGCCTACGTGCCGCTGATCCTGCCGGCCACTTGGCTGCTGGACGCCCGCGGGCTGCGGCTCACGGCGCTGCTGGGCGCGGGGCTCAACGCGCTGGGCGCCTGGCTCAAGTGCGGCAGCCTGGCCCCGCAGCGCTACCCGCTCACGCTGGCCGCGCAGGCCGTGTGCGCCGTGGCACAGGTCTTCATCCTGGGGCTGCCCTCCCGCATCGCCTCCGTCTGGTTCGGCCCCACCGAGGTCTCCACCGCCTGCGCCGTGGCCGTGCTGGGCAACCAGGTAGGGCCGCAGGGGAGCGAGGGGGGCTTGGAGGAGTGGGCTGCCTTGGAGCTCGGCATCGAGTCGGAAACGTGGTGCTTAAGCGGGAGAAGCTTTCCTGCAGGATGCGGTGTCGGGAGAGCGGCCGGGTGAGGAAGCGGGGCTGCCCCTGGCCATGTGGCAGTTCCAGCAGCTGCCGGCAGCACAGCAGCCGAGAGAACCTTCTCACTCACATGTGGTCCTGCCCCACTTCCTCTGTCTCATTTTGGCGCTTGGATTCATTTGACTGAATCCACCCCCGTTGGAAGGGTATGAACTACGTGAACTTTCATGAAGAGCCCCAGCGACAACACATATTGGTTTCTGCTTTTTAAAATATGGCCTCTAATTGCCAGGTGCCAGTAGTCAATACCCTGGTGACTCCTGAAGTTTTGTGTAACGCTGTGATAGTTCACATCACTGTTGGGAGCTGATAACTGAGTCATGGATTTCCTCAAGCTCCCTGGTCCTGGCCAGTTTCAGAGAGCTGGAACAGGTGCATCTGAAAGCACAGGTGCAGGTATGATATTTCTTCCTCCTATAGCCTAATTCTCACCTCCTGCCACCACTGTCCCAGCTTTTTTTTTTTTTTTTTTTTTTTCTCCTGTGGCAAAAAAATGGCTGAGATTCAAATCAGCATCACTGATGCAGGCTGAGGTCATAGGTAGAGTTTGGTTAAGATAATGAGGAATCTGTTTTTTATCTTGGGAGTCTAATGATTTTGTTTGTGCACTTTGGATTATGACAGCAGTGGCATTCATTTTACATATTTACAGTGAGGGTGTACCTAAACCTAGCCGATTCCTCATTAGCTGATACCTGGCTGTTCAGAGTTCTTCAAAAACTTTTTTTTTTTTGCATTGGAGGTTTCCAGTGGGCAAGTCAACTGTCTCTTTTGGACTGAAGATTTCAGAAATTGTTGGTGTTGTTTCAGCAGTGAGGCAAAAATTTTGGATCTGTATCCTGGTATGAGGTTAAAGATTTCTTTGGCAGATAAATGTCCTCTCTTTCTGACGTGCACCAGTCCTCCCAGTAGCAAGGAGTTACTGGGTTTTCAGTTCTGCAGTAGAGTGTCAAGTATCCAGCTTGGAGCCCAAAACTGATGCTTCACTGGGATGCTGAGATGTGGGATTGAAGTGGTGCAGGACAGGAGCAGGAGGGCAGGACTGTGTAGATGGGAGCCACGAGAAGGATGGACAAGGGAAACAGGATCAGGATGTGAACAAAGTAAGCCGTGGATATTTCTGGAGTGTATTCCCCTCCAGAAGCTAGGACTGATCTCAGTATGCCTGCTGAAATGTGTCAATAGAACAACAGAATTTCTCTATTCTCGCATTTTACTTCCTTAAAAAAACCCCTAAAAACTCTCAGAAGCTAGATTGAAAGAGTAGCAAGAATTTAGACACTTGGAAGTTAGCAGTAATGTCTGTGTATCCTGCTGCAGTTCCCTTCTGCATACACATTCCTGCTGGGTCTCCGTGTCCTGATATCTGCACAGCATGAACTGTGTAACAGAACACTCACTGTACCGGGCAATTGCACAACCTGAACTGTGTCATAGAACACGTTGTTATAACCCACCCAGCTGCTGGTCATCCAATTGCTTATCAGATTGCTTATCACACAGCTTCAGACTGTGTGAAACTTCAGAGCTGCAGCGGCGGCCGGCAGGGACAGCAGGCAGGGGAGGAACAGAGCGGTTATCAAAATTTATATCTCATTTCTTTGGGATGCTGATTGTTTGCAGCTGGAACACAAATCACTGGGAATGCAGTGGTGTACCTGCCAAGGGTTGTTTGAAGTGCCAGATCTCCACAAGTATTTACCATCTTAAGTGAGGCATGCCAAAGTCATTGGAACACTTTCTTCTGGCCTTAACCTCTCTAGATGTAAATGATGGGAAATGGTATCACTCGACTTTGTTGGGACATTGTGGGTACTGCACCGGCTCCTCTTGGGGGAGGGAAAAATATACCTAAATACAAAAAGTAACTGTGTGCTCAGTTCGTGTTTGTAGGGTTCATATAATGAAGAGTGAGGACAAAAAGAGACAAATTCTTCCTGGGACCTCTGGATACTGTGTCAATATGATGGCCTGGGAAGAAAAAAACTAGCAAAACCCTCATCAGGGTATGCACAAAGGATGTTTTGTAAGCACAGTGGCACACCTCTAATGTGTGTGCTTTCTGATTGTTGGACTTGCCACTGTAACAGTCTTTGGTGTTCTTTTTTCATTTAATTTTACCTAAAATAAATGTTCCAACACTTTAAAATGCCGCTAAGTTTTGTGGGAGCAGAAGAGGGAAATTGGAGAATAGTTCAGGACTTGTTCCTTCATGGTTTAAAATGCAGGCTTTGGTGTAGTGGCAGGAGCATGACATCAAATGAAGAACATTTCTGCAAGAGTAGCTGGAATCTTGTGCCATCTGTAGCCCTTCAGTTGCAGGGCTGATGACTGATACCAATTTATGTTCATGCATGGTGTTTTCACTTCCTGTGAAAGGTTCTTGTATGTGTATGAAGATTCTTGTACAAGTACTATGTGTACTGTAAATATATACACCAAGTGTGGTATTGTAGCTCAATTGAGAAGTGAAAAGGTTAAACCTGGGTTATGGAAGATCTGGTTGTAAAACAACATCGAGAGCAAGTGGCTCAGAAGTGTGATACTAAAGTTTTATCAGTGCTTATTATGATAACAATTCTGAATTCTACCTGGTAAGACTTTTCACTTCTGTTGATTTGTATGTGCAGAGGGAAACTATTTTTGGCTTTTTTTTTTTTTTTTTTTTTCCTCCTTGCTTTACAGCTTGGTACTGCAATTGGCTTCTTGCTGCCACCTGTTTTGGTCCCAAATACACCGAATGACATTGATCTTATGGCACACAACATCAGCATCATGTTCTATGGAACAGCGATAGTGTCCACACTTCTCTTCTTCTTAGCAGGAGTTGGTAAGTGTTCAAATTACTGGGATTTATGTGCTGGCTACAGAGAGTGTTTACAATGTCTCACTTTAAAGCAGCTGCCTGCTCAAAGTAGTTGAGGTCACAATTTTTCCAGTTTGTGTTCACTTAGGTGTTGTGCCAGGGTTAAGCAACAGCCATTTCACTGTCATGCTTCACATGGGGTGATTTCTTGTAGAATATTTAGTTCTCTTAGTTTCTTTGCTGCAAGGACTTATGATATAATGTGAATTCACTCTGTTCATCTTACAATTTGTATACAAAGGTCCTGACATATTGCAGATTTTGGTAGCAATCAGATGTGACCACATAACACATCCTTTGTGGATGTGACTCAGTTCTTCCATGAGAAAATCTAGACTTTTTTTTTTTTCATGGAGTTGTTAAAACTACAAGTCACTTTCCTGGAATTCATCATGCTGAAACACTTCCAAAAACCTAAAAAAACCCTGCATATTAGTTTGGTAGAGATGAATCAAAAATTGTTCCTTCTTCTTTTTCCCCAGTGTTTGAAGAAAAGCCCAAATACCCTCCCAGTCACTCTCAAGCAGTCCTGCAAACGAAACCTCCTGAGGATTACTCCTACAAGCAGTCCATTATCAACTTGTTCAGAAATATTCCATTTATACTTTTGCTAATCAGTTATGGTAAGTGGTGCTATCTGCTTGTAGTCTGGCAGAAGGGTTCAAATGTGGGCCAGAAGCATGTAGAATTTTAGTTGTGGGGTTTTTTTAATGGGGGAGGGAGTGTCAAACTTTCATTTACTCAGGTGCCAGTGCTGGAAAGTCCATAAGGATGCAAGATATTGCTTATAGGTCCAGATTTTACCTGGCACATAAAAGGTTTTGTGTTGTGAGTCATAAATGTCAGAAGATGAATTCTTTAGGGTAACAAATCAGCATGTCTGCACCTGTAATGACTGAAGCTTTTTTCTTGGTACTGCAGGTATTATGACTGGGGCATTTTACTCTGTCTCCACACTATTAAACCAGATGATAGTAACTCACTACGAGGTAAGTTTCTTGGATCTTATATTTCTCTTTTATGCTGTGCATTTGCAGAGGTGATATTTATTTTGTAGGCCCTATGTGTGCTCAGACATTTGGTTTCTTTTATACCTCTGTACAGTTTCTTGTGCCATACAGCTGTGGGAGTCATAGGAATGTTTGTTTGCACTTATGACTGCCAAGAGGTCTGAACTTGACTCTGAATGGAAGCAATTATTAATGAGCACCATATAAATATTTGTTGAAAGGGAGAAGAAGTGAACGCTGGGAGAATTGGCTTGACACTGGTGGTGGCAGGAATGGTGGGTTCGATTATTTGTGGTTTGTGGCTGGATTACACTAAAACATACAAGTAAGTGTGGGTAGGCATGTGTGGGGCTAGGGGTAGGAGAGTGGTGCAATTCCATTAGGAAAATACTCCAACATAAGGGCTGAAATGATCTGCTGATGAAATGCAGTTGGTCCTTGATTTTTAGTGGTCTGCATGGAGAGAAGTTTCTGCAGCTACAGCAAAAGCTTGAGACTCTCACTGGTTATTGGCCAAAAGAAATGAGGGGGCACAATGCAAAGGGATTTGTCATCTACTCCTGTCTCTTCAGGAGTGTGGGGAAAACACTGTAGGTCCTACATACAGTGAACAGGTGGCCCAGTGGGCTGCTCCTCCTAGGAAAGCACAAAGTCTCAAAGCCTGCCCTGCATTGTTTTGTAAAATGGCCAGCTGGTGGATTGTCAATTTTTTTATGCTACTCCTGATCCTATTAGTAAGTGTAATGTTTGCTTTAACTCAGGGGGTGACCATGGAGCAGAGCTCCCTTCTGGGTTAGGAGCTCCTGGGTCTATCATGGCGTGGTGCCCCCAAGAGTGAGCACTGCCCTGGAGCACTGTTTGTGATGGAGTAGTTCTCCCCTGTGACTCAGTACATTATGTGCCTCTACAAGCCTAATGGATGTTAATGCTGTAGGTTGGCTTTGTTTCTGCATGTTTTGGCTTACAAATATGTGCTTTAGGAATTTGGAAGAGATCCCTTCTTCCAGATTGAAAATAAATAGAACACTGCAATGAGATTTGTTTGACTTGCCTCTTGTAGGCTGACTTTTATTGCTAATAGTGTTGGACTCAGCTGCTCCTGTGTTGATGTATTGTGTAATGGGCAGCACTGCATAATGGCCAAGAGGTACAGCATAGCAGAGAACTAAAATAGTCTTAAGGTGGTAATATGTGCTGTGATTGTCCATTCTTTGAGGGTTTGAGTCATTGTCCTTAGCCTGGAGTGAAGCAGCCAGATAACCAAGACAATGAAGGGTTCAGGAATGGGTATGTGCTCGCTGCATGCTAAGTTTGAGGCAGGATTACATGAAGCAAATTTTATAGCTTTAGAATGGCTTATGTAATGTTCATTTTATCCTTCCATGCTTCAGCAATGTGCTATGGCCTTCTATGAGGAATGTTAATTTTTTGTTGTTGTTGTTGGGTTGCAGGCAAACTACTTTGATTGTTTACATTCTCTCTTTCATTGGGTTGCTGGTATTTACCTTCACCCTGGACCTCGGATACCTTATAGTGGTGTTTGTGACTGGAGGAGTGCTTGGGTGAGCAATTAAAGAGCACTACAAGACTTACTGCAGTTCTCTTCTGAAACAAATTTAAATGTTTTACCTAGATGATTCTGTGTATTCTGTCATCATGGTCTCAGCCTATGCCTTTAGCTCACAGTACAGATAGGGTTTCAGCTTCTGTTACATCAGAATAAAGCTAAAGTAACTCACTTTTCAGTAAATTTCATTTACCATTTTATGGACCTAAGAGAGGTCCCTATGTGATCAGTTTGTCTGGTTCCTATTCAAAAAGCTGTCTGCAGTGAAGTTGAAGCTTTCTCTTGAGCAGTGTGTAGGTGACTAGAGTTGGACTGAGCAGATCTAGGAAGACTGCCTTCTCTGCATGTTCATTAATCTATGCTTTGACAACCCAAGCAACATGCTGGTTCCTTTGTTTGCTGTGCTCATAGATACCCAATCTAAAAGCCTCAAGAGGTACTGAGGGAATGTTGCTGTATTCAGACACAGAAGTCAAGATGAAACCAGAAATGTTTTGAGAGTTTCAGTTTAAAAACCAACCAACCAACCTCAGCTGCATTTGAAGCCTTTTCTCTTTGGTCCCCTCAGCTTCTTGCACAGCAGCTTCCAGCAGGTGTTCAAGTGTACAGCCTCACTCCCTACTCTTGGCCTCTTTTTGTCCTCCACCATGGATAATTGGGCTGATCAAATGATGATGTCTGTGCGTGGCTTTCATATGAAAGTAATTGGCTTCAAGTATGGAGTGGCTTGCAGACTCCTTTGCAAAGGTTGTTTCATATGCATGGTGGTTATGGGAAATAGGACAAACATGTTTTAGCAGCTTTGCCCTAAAGAGAAAGATGTGTGGCTAAAATTCTTGGACCATGCTGAGGGAATGAAGCAGTCACTATTATTTGGAATTACTGAATTCTGTTAAGTCATGAACACATGACAATTCAGAATACCAGCTAATTCATAACACCATGTGTGTATGTTAGGTTTTCTTAGCTGTAGTAACAGATGAAGGCCACACCTGTCATCCTCTTGCTCTCCTCTTCAACAGGTTCTTCATGACTGGCTATCTTCCACTGGGGTTTGAATTTGCTGTGGAAATTACATATCCAGAGTCTGAAGGCACTTCCTCAGGTCTCCTCAATGCATCAGCACAGGTTACAGCATTTTATTTCTTCAAGTGAAGTAATGTTCAGGAATGCCACTGTGCTCAAGTCTAGGAAGGCTTTCTTAGACTTAGCTAAGTCTCTGTTTTGTTGCTACAGTCCTGTTTTTTTAAAATTTGATTTCTATAAGATGTGACCTGGAACTTTTAAAGGTGAAATTACTCTTTTCTGTGTGATCCTGATGCCTTTACTTGTTTGTTTATAGATATTTGGAATTATCTTTACACTTGTTCAAGGAAAGCTCACAACAGACTACAGTCCTCGTGCAGGAAACATCTTTCTTTGTGCTTGGATTTTTGTGGGCATTATTTTAACAGGTAATTACAAGTGCAAGTAATGGCTTTTATTTAATGTAAAAACGTAGGTCTTTTAGGATGATGTTGCTAATATATGCACAGTCATCTGACCACCATCTCTTGAGACATGTCCTGAATTTGAGACAGATGTCCATCTCCAGAGTGGGGTGAGAAATAGAAACAAATGCACAAATGGAGGCAGTTTGCAGTTTTCCAAATGCAAGAAATTGCTGATGCACTCTGGAACTGTGCCAGTGTTTATACATGTTGACTCACAAATGTGCTGAAAGTGCTGAACTATCAAGCTTTTCTTTAAGTGCTTGTGGTTTAAAAGATTTTATTGTCGTTGCCTGCTTTGTGTGCTTTGTGAGGAGCAAGTTCAAATTATCAGTGAGTTCAAATTGCAAAGAAAAAATAGGGCTATTTTGAAAATGTGCTGAAAGCAGCTTCTGTGTGCTTGCACCCTGCAAACATTTCCCTTGAATTGCATATCACTGCAAAGGTGTCAACCAGCTTTCCTTTTCCTTCTTTTCTCAGCCTTAATAAAATCAGATTTGCGAAGACACAATGTGAATTCAGGGATTATGAACTTGGACGTTAAAGCTGTAAGTGGTGACTCTTTTACCATGATTGTATTACCTACTTGAATGCTTGACTTCTTCTGGCAGAACAGTAGCAGCTGCAAAAGAGTACTTGACAAAGTCTTATGCCTGGCTCCATGTTGGTTTTGAGCAACAGAGCCACGTGGGATGCTGCTCACACATATCTGTTTTTCTCCTTAATTCCTGTGAAAAAAACTGAAACAACTTCTGGTCTCAGAATTTTTTTAAATTTTTTGAATATTTGCATTTTAAGTGGCAAATAATATTATTTTATTGCTTGAATCTTGCTTTTTCATAATAGCAGGGAAGCATTTTAAATTGTGAAGCCTTTTTGTTTATTGGGCTGTGAGGCTATCCTGTATACTATATATTTTATTTAAAACACCTGCAGTCCCTTCAGATGAAGTCAGTGTCTGATAAACAGAAGCCATGCTGGAGTTTCTATGCAGTGCTGCATAAAGAGCTGGGTTTGTTCTTCTGCTGACACTCTCAATTTAAAGGAAGAGTGAGCCTAGCATTTTCTGATCATCATAAGGCTCCATGTTTCAGCAGTTTTTCCAAGCTACTACAGTTACTAGTAGAAATAAAGCTCTCAGTAGAAAGTTTTTTCAATGCTGTGGGTTTTTCATTGCTTGGATCAAGATATGAGAGAGCTTTTTGGAGTCAGACATCACAGGATCCTCTGCCGTGCTTATTTTTGTGTAGGTGTCTTGCATGCCCGGCAGCTTTTGATCATCTGTGACCAATTTTAGTGTCTGTATGAGGTTCAGAAACTTTGAGCTGGTGCTGCCTGAGCCAACTTGAACCTGAAACCTGCTGGCAGCTGTGGGTGCTCTGTGTGGCATCCTGTGGGTTTCCAGCCAGGGTTGGGGCTGTTCATCACTTATCTGCTTTCCATTATCACCTCGTTAATTAGCCTAGATCATCACCCGGCTTCATTCATATTAGCCAGGGTGTCAGAAAAGCTGCAGTCCTTGCCCTGATGTTGCCATGCATGATTCAGACCTGGCTGTGTTAATAATGTTCAGTATCACTTTGATGCTGAACCTTAATCAAGAATCTACTGTGGTTAAATGTATCAGAGGAAAAAAAAGGGAAATTAATCTTCATGTGACAGATACTTATATGCAGTAAATAGATACTTTAGAATTACACTAAGAAACTACATTCTATGTTTGGGCTCTCTTTGTCTATTACAAAAAGAAAAGAAAATAGGGTTTCATATAATTTGCTTAATTGGGCTAATTAACTACATATACTGTTGGAGCCTAACCTAGTAATTACCCAAGAATACTGAGTTTGAGAATAATTCTGTTGAATAACAGCCTAATTCCTGTTGTGTTTTTACTTTTTCATCTTCCTCTTCAGGTACCAGTTGACAGTCCTGTAGAACCTGAAAGCACTACGTTGAAGATTCAGTCAGCTTTATGAAGCTGAAGGAAGGGGACTCAGAAATGCACAAGTTTGGTTAGATATGAAGTGATGTGAGCTAGTGTAATCACTGGATTTGTGTGTATGAGTAGTGACATGTGTTTGTTGATATTGGTGGTAGTTGTGTACTGGAAGCTATGAAGATGCTCAGTTCATTTTGCTCAAGATGCAAAGAATACACCCTTGTATGGACTATTTATTTTAACATTTTCAAGTCTTGCAGTTTGATTAGTAAAGAACTGTGTGAACACTCTCCACAGTAGGGAGATGTGCATTCAGGATGCATACTTGAAAAAAATCAGGAGTCTTGAAGTACAGTTGTCATGATCAAAAGTATCTAATCATCTTTTATTGTTCAATCTTGCTGGTGCATTTGAAAAGTCAAAGAGTAGGGAAATGCACAACAGGAGGATGTTCATAAGTTCATTTTTTTATTTTAAATGTATCTGTATTTGAATATAAGCCAATGATTCCTTCTGGGAAAGTGATAGCACAATACTGAAAACGAGAGATGACGTGTGTGTTTCATACTGGCATCTGACATTTCTTTTGCCTTGAAACTTCTTTATAGGTATCAAAAGGCAGATAGGAGAAAACACTGTTTTTGCTATAGCTTCATTGTAGCATTTCTGGGGAGATTCAAGAAGTTTCTCACTAGATAAGTTGGAGACAAAACATTTCTTATTAAATACAGTACAAAGGAGGACAAAGGCCTTTGATATCTCTGCTATGAAATATTTATAAGCAATGGAACACTACCACACAAGTTTCCTCCACGGAATATTTTGAGTGCTTTCTCATTTAAAGAGAGAGGAGTACGTGTTTACAAAGAGCCAGTGCCTTTACTTTGTAAAGAAGATCCCTGCCTCATCTTGAGTTTAATCAGTGCTGCTGAAGAAATTCCATTTTGTCTGTTAAACCTCTGAATATTTGTGGAGTATCAGAAAATGTGTTCTGTCCTTTTTATGAATTGTATCACTTGTCTCATGTGAAATTCTTGTGCTTGTGTAACTTAAATCATGTCTTTTACAGTTAGTTAAAAGCTGTAAGGATGACTGAAAAGAAAATAGTGGTATTTTCACTATTTCTGATCAAATATTTTCTTTTATACCATTTTAGCTGCAAAATGAGCAGACATTATTAACAGTAACTTTTTGTTACTTCATTTTTCTGTATTTGGGATGGGGGTTTTTTAGTTCAGTGTTTTTGAAAATTTTCTCCTTTACCTTGTGCTCTATCTACACACCCACAGAACTGATAGCACTACAATAATATTATTGCTGGGAAAGTCAGACCTGGGCCAGTGGACTTGTTGGAAACATTTCATTTTTAGCTCAGCACAGTGAGCCTGTAAGTTCAGTGGCATCAGTGCTGCTGTGTCTCTGAGTTCCCACAGATGCAGTGCCATCCAGAAGGTGCAATCCTGCTCCAAGTTTTCCACAGGTTGTTACAGCTGGGGATGGGAAATTATTTGACTCTGTGCTGGGCTAGTTGATTTTCTTCACAGTGGCTGGCAGGGGGCTGTGTTTTGGATTTGTGCTGAACACAGGGCTGATAATACAGACATGTTTTATCCTTGCTGAGCAGGGCTTACACAGAGCCAAGACCTTTTCTGCTTTTAAAATGTCAGAAAAGGTGAGGAAGTTGGGAGTGCCTGGGATGTTGGGAGGAGACACAGCCAGGACAGGTGACCCCAGCTGACCAAAGGGATATTCCAGACCATGGGACATCGTGTTCAGTGATGTCTGGGGGGCAGAAGGGGGAAGGAAGGGATGTTTGGAGTGATGGTGTTTTCTTCCCAAGCAGCCGTTGCACTTGCTCTGGTTGGCTGAGCACCTGCCTGCCCATGGGAAGCAGTGAATTAATTCCTTGTTTTTCTTTGCTTGTGTGTGTGGCTTCTGCTTCCCCCATGAAGCTGTCTTTATCTCATCCCATGAGTTTTCCAGCTTTTACCCTTCTGATTCCATCCTCAGTCCCACTGCTGGGGAAGGGAGTGAGCAAGGGGCTTGGTGGATGGCTGGGGTTAAACAACAACAAACTCCAGGATAGTCTCTAAGTACAATAAATATAATTAAAAGCTTTTCTTTTTCTTATTCCACTGTAGACTCAGGAAAATCCTTTTGTATAAAAAGGGCCTGAAAGCTTATCTTTCTAAGCTTAGCCTCTAAATGTGATGATCTTGATTTAAACATTTTGTATGATAAATGCTTTGGACAGGGGAAGACCTATCAGAATAAACTAAGCACACTTGGAACACTTGCCCTGCCAAAAAGGGTTCATGTCTCTTTGCCAGCCCCAGTGCTGGGGAGAAAATGGCCAGGCCTTGCTGCTCCTGGGGAGGTGAACTCCAGAAGAGTCCACTGCTAAAGCAGCTGAATATAGGAAAAGTCACTCTTGGCTATTCAAATGGCAGGCAAGGGTATAGGAGTGAAAGTAGAGATGCTTTCATTATGTCATGAAAGACATAAATGAAATGGAAGTAGAGATGCTTACATTATATCATGAAAGAGATGCTTTCATTATTCATTTACATTGAAGCTGCCCCATCAAGGGATGTACAGGTTTTCAGCCTGAGTGAGAAAAGTGAAAGTTTCTGCCTTGTGGCATATGTGGGTGGCTTTTCCTTTTGGAAAAATGATAACATGTGCCAAAATATATATATGTTTTTCATCAAGATACAGATACAGAAAATATTTATGTTCATGGCCCATGCATGGTTACTTTGACTTTTGGTGTTGCAAAATCTTAGCAAGGTAATATTTTTGTAGTTTTGGGGAATTGTTTTCAAATGTCCAGTAGAAAGTCTTTGCCAGTATCCAGGATGTTTGCTGACCTGTTCAGTATACACTGTTCAAAATAAAAGATTGAGTATTTTTGTTCCATTCTTAAATTTTATTTTTTCAATTCCTTTCTTCACTGCTAGTTTCCAGTTTCTTCAGTTATATTCAGCTGATTATTGAAAAAATATCCTAGTTCTGGCTCCTTGTGTTTTTTTATCTTCTGCCAAAGATACTTGGCTACCTTCTGAAAAGGTTGAAAGAAGATTTTGGCTGGCTGGAAACCCTGCTGGGTCCCTGAAAAGAAAATATTCCTAATAATGAAGGCTTAATTGCATCCTGGATTTAATATTCCCCTTCTAAAAGGAGCTTGAAAGTTGGAAACTTATGAGCTATTTTCAGGCAATGATAAAGTATTTAAATGTAAGGCTCAGCAACAGAATAAAGAGCAAATAAAGAACAAATCAGTATTTTTTATGCAATAGTCTTATCATCTGTCAAGAAATTGAGGTTCTAGATCATGGCAGAAATAAATTTGGAGTAGTTGAGGCTTTGTGTTTTTTGCTTTTAATCTTTAAGTTTTGGGTTTTAGCAGAAAACATCCACTCAAGCAAACGTAGAATCACAGAATGTTAAGAGGTTGGAAGGGACCTTAAAGACCATCTGGTCCCAACCCCCCTGCCATGGGCAGGGACACCTCCCACTGGACCAGGTTGCTCCAGGCTCTATCCAACCTGGCCTTGGACACTGCCAGGGCTGGGGTGTCCACAACCTGCCTGGGCAGCCTGTTCCAGTGCTTTACCATCCTCACAGTAACAAATCTATTCCTGATACCTAAATTAAATTCCCTCTCTTTCCGGTTGTACCCATTTCCTCTTGTCCTATCACTACAATTCCTGACACAGTCCCTCCCACTTCCCTGTAGTCTCTCTTCAGATACTGGAAGGTTGCTATGAGTTTTCCATGCAACCTTCTTAGCCTGGAAATTCCACATGCATCTGGAATTGCAAATAGGGGTTCTGACTCTCAGCCTTCAGATCCTGGCTCAGCCCCCCAGCAAGAGTAGAGATGGGGACAAAAAATCCTAATTGTTTAAAAAAGTAATTGTATCATGAATGGAATTGCACATCAGCTAGGAGAGGATGGTGCAAGAAACCAAGTGAGAACAGGCATCCCAGTCCCATGCATCAGCTTCTGCTTTTCAATTTGCTTTTTTTTCTGAGTGTTTCAGGAGAGCTCTGGAGGATGCAAGAGAACACACATAAGGCACACAGTAAGGAGCATAAACAAGGGGACTGCCCCCCAGCAACATCTGTTTCTGTTGCTAAATGCCCATGGTTTATGAGGAAGAAAGAACAAGGGAGGAAGTAGCAACAATACATAGGAATAATTTCAGATTAATAGTGATGCCTTGAGAGGCTACCTAGAACAGAGGCTAGACAGTGTAAAAGGAATAAAGTAGGTATTTGTTAAAAAGGCCTTCAAAGGAAACACCTTGGGCAGTACAAGAGCCCAGCCAGGGCTACACCCAAGATGGGTGATGGGTCACACATTTTCACACTTTTGTAAGTTTTGGTCCATTTACATATTGGGGTTAATTGTCCAGTTACAGCTTCAGGTTATGAAGTCCCATCCTCCCAGATTGCTCTCCTCAGTTATCTGTTTTGGGCCCAAAACTGCAATGGTGTCCTTGGTTCTCAGGCTGGAAAAGGATTGTTTTGTCAAAGTAAACTGTGAAGAGAATTGGCTAACACTTCATATGAACTTCACAGTTATACACTAATGCAGTACAGAATCTGGAAAATATGAGAGCTAAAACTTAAGGCATCAATAGGGCTTTTCTAACTTCAGTCTCTTGGTTATCTCTTTTGTTCAAGGCAGTCTGTTTTTTCAGAGACAATCAGTGGAGTGTGTAATTAGAGCTGCCAGCCTATGTTGCCTAATGAAAAAATGGTTTTTGAGAAATATTTGTACTACCTTGTGCATCTACAACCAAGTGAAATTTGGTTGAGATGTAAACATTTACTGTTTTCCTTTTCCATTTTGTGAACTCACTAGTTTTTCTGTGTGAATGGGAGTGTGTGACCTTTACAGTTGCTGTCTTTCAATACATGGATGTACAATCCCAAGTGTTACAGGCTATTGATGTTTCATGGAGCACAAGCTGTCATTGTACACAATAATGTGTGATTGCCCCAGCCCCACCATTCGGTCTGAATTCTGTGAAGAAGGAAGAAGTGATGTTAATGCAGGAACTGGAATGAATTAAGCAAAAAAAATTCCTAAGAGAAATGTATTTCTGTGTAAGACCCATGTTGTTTACTGCTTATGCCTTTGTTCTACTCATGAAGATAACAAATGTGTTTTACTGTAATATTTTGGTTTTGTTAATGTCCAATTCTTTATTTCAAGAGAAAATTAAAAGTTCTTAATGAATATTCTCTGATTGCAATACTGTATGTATGTGTATATGTGGATGGCATAATTCCTTATCATTCTATGTTACTAATAAAGTGTATAATGCCTAAATTGATTGGAGCCAAGGGTAACATTTTTGACAGCTGGTAATATAGCTGCTAATCTAAAAGTGATTATTTTTTTCCATAGAACCTGCCTTGTAGGAAAATGTGAAAGTGTATGACTTACTGTGACATTAATAAACATACATGTACATGCAGAGTACATGCAGGTATAGAAATTTATTTTGCACAAAAGTATTGGCATCCAGAGACATTTTCTTAGGGCATAGAATTAAAGTACTAGCATTGGTAGTCAAGTTGTACTGCTCTAGCACAGAGATTTCTCCTTGGCTTTGGAAGAGGTCTGTGAGGAAATGAAAGGGCGAGTTAACCCCTAAAGCAGAGCGATCCAAAGGCAGCTTCTTGAGGGTAGTGCACATATTATTTTAATAAAGCACTTGGTTGCTGAGAGATTGTCTGGGGGAGAGGGTAGGATAACTTTTGAGACAGGATAGAAGGGAGACATTACATTCAATTATGGCTAAAATCAGAGGTGTCTTCAGCGGGAGCACTGCAGAACCCTTGTGAGCACTCTGCAAGGGTTCTGTCACCTACCCTCAGGCAGTTAGCCCAGGTGTGAGCCAGGAAAATTTGAGCAACCTGCTTCAAAAAATGCAGAGTCGTGGTAAGAAAATGTTTCATTTTTTTTAATCTCACTTCTCCACAAAGCTGGGATTCTCTCTCAGCTATTTTGGTAGAGGAGATGTTTCAAAGAAGGTGGCTGCAGGTGCTGCAGAGCACAGCAAACACAAGCCTTGTGTCATACAGCAACACTGAGATGCAGTTCAACACTGGGTTGAACTTTCAGGTGAGTTCTTTGTTTTACAACCAGGACCACAAGGTCATTTTCCTCTTATGATACCTCTATGAAAGCTGCAGGCAATATCCCCAGTTAGCACTGTAATTTAAACATTCCCACAGCTAGGAAGGAACAATCCCAGAAAATCATTATTGTCTAAAGTTTCTTTGGCTTTGGAGTTTTGGGGTTGGTAATTTTATTTCTTTTTTTCTGGTTAGATGCTCGGTCCTTCAAAGAAAACACTAGAAACCTCATCAGGTAAATGGGAAGTGTGAAGCCATCCTGCCTATTAGTCAGATAATTATTTCTATAGCTGGGAGAAGGCTCTGTGATCCAAAGCTAACAATTATTACCCCTTCCAGAAAGTGATGTGGTTTGTGTATGGATAAAATAGGCAGATGCCTAACAGTCCAGCTGCTTCCTGGGTTGGAAAGAAGCCCAGGAGAAGCCCCTTAGAAGTCTGCTGGATTTCCTTTTGCCTCTGCTTCACAATGAACTAACCCTATCTGACCATGCTCTAAATCAATATTTACAGCTCTATTAAACAACTTTTGAGAAAACAAAACAATAATATCCTGAACTTTGTAGAAAGGACTTCAGCAGATATGTCACAAAGGCTAAGTATTGGCACTGGTTAGGCATAATTACTGATTTGTGAGTAGTTATGTATTTATGAGTAACGAGCTCATATCTGCTTAATGTCAGGGACCAAAATTCAGCCTCTAGGATGCTAATTTTCAGTGATTCCTCAGTAAACTGCTTCTGCTTGTAAAAGTGTTTAGACCACTGCCTTTTAGAAGGCAGTAAATCTAAAGGGCATTGTCAG